CCGTAGCAGTCCGCATGTCTTCCTCCCCACTCTGCGTCCCAGAGTCATACATTACCCAGACACATAATAAATCTATGGAGAAGCAGACATGCCTAACCTCCAGGGATGCAGAATGATTTCTGCTGCAATCATCGGACTCTGTGACCTTTCTGGTTTCCGTATTTTTATTTTCGTTTCAAGTCTAGGCCTCAAGACAGTTCTCTCCCATCTTGCCCTATTCATAACAGTTGAGAAGGATAAAAGACCCCATGTCTACGAGTGAAGTTGGCAGTGTATGTATCCCACCTTCTCTGAAGAGCTCTGGAAGCCCCTGCTGACTCAGCTTTTGTCCCTCCTGAGTCCTTCTTCTAGATCCTTCTTGGCAGCTCAGGGGAGGTCCCTTGCCCAGGGCTCTGCACACAGAACTCAACACAGAGGGGCAGTTGTGACCTCTGGGCTCCTGTACCATGGGCTGGCGCTGTTTGTGATCATGTAAAACTCCCCACTGACCCCAGTGTGCAGAGGGAATGAGGACCTGTAGTGTCCTCTCTAGGCTCCACTCTCGCAGACCCCCACAATAAGAGGGCAAGACACCAACACCACATAACTGATTGTAGATAGGCCTTATTGTTATGGCTTAGATAAAACACTGCAGTGCCCGGAGGGATGCAGCAGCAGGCCACGAGGGCCAGCAGGTCCCAGGCAGGGAGCCACCGGCGGGTGAGAGACAGAGATAGATAGGTACGCCATGCAGAGAAAGTGGGTATTTATTTAGTGGGTTATGGAGGGGAAAGGAAAAGGGGGAAGGGGTGAAGGGGGAAGAGCAAAGAGAGGCAGAAAAAGAAAGAAATGGGAGGGGAGGAGAGGAGGAGAGGAGAAGAGAAGAGAAGCTACCTCTTTGGGAGAGAGATGGCAAAGAAGGAATCAAGCTGGATGGAGAGAAGATCCCCTTGCCTCGGGGTTAGGATGGGGAAGGATGGGGGAGGGAATGGGAGGGACTTGTCTCTTAAAGGGACAGGACAGACCATTACACTTATCATAGTTAACGTTCTCAAAAAAACAATTAACAAAAGCAAAATCAAGCTCACAGCAATGAAAGAGCAGGCTGTCAATGGAAAAGTAACCAGCTACCCCCCAGGCATCTCTGGTAACACCAAAAATCACTGTAGCCTTAAGAGGTCATATCAGGCAAGATGTGATCATAAAACCTTCAGCAAATTCAACTTTGTAAACAGCTCCAAGTAGACAGGACAAAAGTAAGAAAAGCTCCCCTGAACAAAGATGTTTATCGTAGTCACTCCCTGTACTATAAAGATGTTCAGCACAACCGTGTTGACTAAGGACTGTCTCAGAAGCCACAGCGTGTAAATACATGGACCTCTAGGGCGGCTGTTCTAAGCATTCCACCCCAGCATTGCTGGCATTTGGAGACCAGTTCCTTAGCTATGAGGATGAGGCTGGTCGTGCCCTGTGGGCAAGATTTCAGCCCTGCTGGCTGCTGCCCACTAGATGCCAGTAGCACCCCTCCCAGCCATGGCAGTCAAAGCATCTCCAGGCATGGCTCCTCTGACGTTGTAGGCGGGAGGGCAAACTCACCCTGACTGAGAACAACCAGTACAAACGACAAACAGATGACAAATAGATGCCAGCTCTCCACAGGGCTGGGTAGAGGACAGGAAGTGATAAGGGCTGGGCCCCCAGTGTGTGCCCTTCTACAGGAACCAAGTACTCAACTAGAAAACCAGAAAGGTATCCTGGTTTTGTTGTGGGTTGTGTGCCTACATATGTGTATGATGTGTGCCCACTCATGTGCCTAGAGGTCAGAGAGGGAGGCTGGGTGTCTTCCCTCATCACTCTCTGTCTTGTTCCCTTGAGACAGGGTCTGTCACTGAATGAGGAGCCAGGCTGGAGGCTAGCACACCCCAGGAATGCTCCTGTCTCCACCCTGCAGCCCTGATGTTATAAACATCTATGGTGACACCCAGATTTTTATGTGGGTCCTGGGGGTTTGTGCTCAGGTACTCACACTTGTTTGACAAACACAATTATCAGCTAAGCCACCTCCCAGTCCCTTGCTTTTTTTTTCTTTTTCCTTTTCAATTTAGCAGCTAGTTCAGAGTTAATGATGTCTGAGCCCTACACAGGAGCAGAAGTCCCCAGAGCTTTGGCAAAGGGGCAAATGGGAAACACCACAGGCTCTGCCATCCTAAGTCTCTGCCAGTTACTGAAGTTGCTTTTGGGCAGAAAGGGGAGCAGCCACAGATAATAGGCAAATGAGGCATGGTTAGCCCCTCCTCTAGTAAGCTTCATTTGCAAGCCCTGAAATTTTAATTTCAGGTTAGAATGTTAGGCATTTCCTTTGGATGGTCTGCTCTTGGGTGATGTTCAGGTAAATCTCAGTTTGTGGTTCTTCCTGCAACCAGGTATTGTTTCAGGGTAAACTACTGAGCCGCAGGCCTCCATTAAACTTAAGGATGGCTGAGTCCTACACTGGCAGGTGATAATGGTTGGAAGTAAAGAACTTCCTTTGGGTGGTCTGTTTCTATTTAGCTTATCATGGCTGGCTCCTACATTGGCTGGCTCATCCTTTTTCTTTGACAGAAAAGAGGGAAAACACAGATGGCCTTCTTTACCCAGGGAGGCAACCCCCTGGATGCTAATAGTGGACGCCTATGGTGAGTGGATTCAGGAAAGGAATCCATCATGGCCTCTGAGCCTGCATCCTGTGATTCCGCCTGGAGAATGCAGTGTGGAAACTGTCCCTAGAGCTGCCTCTGCTGGGACCACCCCATAGCCCACCTGGGACAACACAGGGCCAAGAGCAACGAAGGTAAATCTGGGGTGTGGCACAGGGAGGCCGAGAGGAAGAGAAAGAACTGAAAAGAAGTGGAGGTAGCACCTGAAAAGAGGGGAACGCAGACCAAAGGCAAACCAGGGAGGCTGAAGTGAAACAGAAGGGGGCAGGACAGCTGGTGCAAAAGACAACCCAGGATGCTGCTGGCATCTGTGATGCCAGGGTAGCAGAGGTAGGCAGGGGGCATTGTGTGTGTGTGTGTGTGTGTGTGTGTGTGTGTGTGTGTGTGTGTGTACGCATGTGTGCATGTATTCTTCCACCTCTCTTTTTCTCTCTCTCCACTGTTCATGGGCTTCAGATTCAAAAGCATCATCATGCCTTTTTTTCCGTGACCCCCTTGAGACTCCACCAGCTCCACTAACCTCCCACAATCCCCCAGCTAGAGGCTGAAGGGTCAGAGAGAAGAGGTATAGGAGTGCCCTTGATTATCCCTCCCCAGGTCAAGCTGGAAGGCTGAGTTGAGCCTCCCGGGGGAGAGGCTCTGAGGAGCTGTGCTGAGCTACACAGCAGGAAGGGAACCAGTTCAGAGTGGCCTAGGATCAAATGTCCCTTTGGTTAAATCACTTCCTAGGCTTGAGGGCAAGACAAGGGATAGGAGGGTGATCTCCAAAGTGAGAGTCGGGTCCCCTCAGGTCCCTCCCTGGTTCCCTATAAACCTTCACTAGGGACAAAGGAAGGGGCTGGGGAAGACTGCAGCCACTGAGGCACGTTTTTTAAATGGCCTATGGAGGGAGGGAGGCTTCGGGAAGCAGCCTCAACTTCCTGTGCCCACAGTAAGATTGCAGCCAAGTGACTGAGGACCCAAAAGGACAAATGCGTGCATCCACTGATCAAACTATGTCTGGGCAAACACACGACTCTAGAAGACTTCAAATGCAGCCCTGCAGACGCCAGGCTCTTGAACATCCTCAGAATCCGTCCCAGGGAGGACTGGGGAGGTCAAGTCTTGACAGCAACATTGGTCTGTCATTATCTCGAAACGTCAGGGTCTTAGGCTAGAGATGAATTCTGCTGAGAGGAAAGGAAGGCGATGCATTTGCACAACTGAATGGTGGCTTGTGAAATGTATGTCTGTAACCCAAGCACCGCCTACTCAAACTCTCCTAGCTTCCTGGCTGCACATCACCTCCTGTCACTCAGCCACTGTCCCGCCCACTGTGATCTCATCAGGTTCCCAGGGACCGGCCCACTACTGTGCACAGCTGCACAGTTCCCCAGGCCCAAGCATATAACAACCCCCCCCCCCCACACACACACACACACTCCCTCTGGTCACGAGCTCTGTGTTTGACTATAGCAAAGGGGCAGAGGTCTCAGGACACAGCAGTAAAGTTGCTGAGCACTGTGTGCTCCCAGGCCCTGATTGTATGTGGCTGGGAGAGACCTTTTCCGGTCTGCTCAGTAAGCATTCCGGGGCTCCATGCCAGCGTGAGGGGCAGTGTCTCTGAACAACAGCCACTGCAATGTTTGGTGCCTTCTTCTCTACTACCAGATATGGCGCAAGCCAGAAGAGCAGCGCGAGCTGAGAAATGGCCAACAGCGTGGGCATACCTGCTGCCTAGCCCACGATCCAGGCCAGTGTCTTTCTGGAGCGTCTCCCATTTCCTGATTTAGTAGCTCTCAGTGTGTAATAAACCTGGGGCAGATGGGATGTGGAGAACACTTTTGCCTAACATAAACAAGACCCCGCTGGGTTCAACCCCGAGTGTTGCAAAAATAAAAAACTAAATATAAATTGGTGGTGAAGAGTCCCAGGAAGGGCATGAGGAAGACCCTTGAGATGGAGCAAGGGCTAAGGAGCCTGGCAAACCATTAGGAAGCCACTCCACTTCCTGGCCTCTGCACCAAAGAGAGAAATCTTGTTCAGGAACAGGGTGAGGAAGGGTTGAGATCAGATTCCCACAGGAATCGAGTACCAACCAAACAACCATCCTGGAGCCCTGAGGGCAGCTTCAGCAATGGCCGGGGTAACTTCATCCTTTAGGATCTGAAACTGGGTCCTTCTCTGGAAGTCATCGTCTCAAAGGGGCTGGGTGAGATACTCGGAAGAAAGTGACTTGATTTTCCTTGTAAAGCACTTCGTTCTTCCTAGAACAAGTTGACATCTGTGTCACCATGTTCCAAGAGACTTAGCAGCAAAACGAATGGGGAGGGGCCAAAGAAGACTTCTGGAAGTCTTGGTGTCTTTGCTAGGGAAGGGACCCACGCAGTCTGCGAGGGCTCACTCCACAGCGGCGCTTAGATTTCTCTCTTGATGTGCTCTGGGATATTTCCATGCACAAGAAACTCTCTGGTGGTCACTGAATTTTTCAGATACGGATTCGGAGGTCGCTCCTCACTGAGAGGCTCTGGTCCTGGACTCTGACCGGAAGACAGAAGTTGCTCATTGAATTCTGTGTATGTCTCTTCTGTCGTTCCCAAACACTGGTTATGGGTGTCTCCAGGAATAACCTCGGTTGCAGGGGGCCTCTTAAAGCTTCCCCCCGGGGGACAGTCAGGCCTCGACGGAGAGGTCACATATTCATTCGCCTCTCCTCCCAGAATGCTCTCCTGACCTTTCCTAGCTTCCTCTGCAGAAAGGACTTCCAGAAAGTTTTCAAAGTTTACCACCAACTTGTCAATGAGGTCAGCGGGGATAGAGCATGGTTTTAGGATCCTGTCTTCTGTGCTCCCAGGGTTGTCAGACTCCTTAGGACTGGACTTCCTCTACAGAAAGAAAAGGGGGCAGACACCCCGGGAGTCATGTGAGGAGTACAAATGGCAGAGCTGAATCATTAGATTTGGGACACAGACTCCCTGCCCCCATGTACAGCCCCTCACATCTCTCACTGGTCCAGATGGTGACCCGCCACTTCCTCAGGAGCTGAGGAGCAGCACCCCACGGCCCACACTCCCTCTAGAGAGTTCAAATCTCTCTTCTACAGCATATCTGCAAAGCTCCAGGTGAGATGAAAACCCTTAGGGAAAAACCATAAAGGTAGGCACCACCAGGAAATCTAAGGCCACCTGACAACAGGGCAGGGCTCTGCCATTTTTGTCTTCTGCTGGCCCATGCCTGGCAGGCAGATGAGAATTAACCAGTGCATGCTGTAGAGGCCTGACCTGCACACTCTGCAGAGTACATTTCATTGACTTAATAAACAGGAGAACAAAGAGGCCAACATAAAACACAAGAAAAGGAGGGAACAGAAACAGTTCATTACAAAAATGCTCCTTTAGAAAAATAAATTCTGAATTGAAAAAAAAAGACTAACATTTTAAATTCTTGCATCAAGGAAAACCTATGAAAGGGCATTCAATAATAAGGATTTAAGAGCTATGGTTCACTGAGCTGATTTACTCTTAAGGGGGAAATCATAACTTAGGCATTTTTCAAGTTTCCTATTTAAAAACATACTTAAAAGGAGGATTTCTACTTGGAAAAATATATCAGGAAACGCTACTGCCAATTAAATAATTTTTGACTCTCTCTCCATTGAAAAGATGCCCTTGGGTTACCATTTTCCCCAGCATCCTATGTCTCTGAATGGCCTCCAGATTAATTTGCTCTTGATTGCTTTTTAAATGACCACAGAGTTGACAGTCAGGCCTCTTGCTCCCCATCACAGAGCCAAGTCTGTTAACACAGTCCCTTCTCTGTGGCATCCTTCAGGATTGGTTTTATGTTGGGAACACCTCAGGCCCTGGCGATGCTCTTTCCTCTAGCCCCGAGGGCAGGGCGAAAGTCAAGGCTGGAAGGCTGATTCCAGCTTCCCTTTCAGCTGTTTCCTGGGTCTTTCAGACTTCAGTTCTTTCTTGATGAACCCTGAGGAAAGCCTCTCCCATGCCCATCCACCCACTCCACCTCCCCCAGCCAGCCTACAGTTTCCTAGACAAAACCCAGTAGAGTGTACCTTGAAATCATCTCCGATCCATGTGGCTAAACTACTTTCAGCAGGGTTGGGAACATCAGGACAACACAGACGAGTCAACCAGCTATTAAAAGATGAGATTTTAGAAGAGGAGGTAAGCTCGAGGCGTGGTCCATGTGTAGTGCGTGGCTGAGCTAAGGGCAAGGCTTTCTAAAGGCAACTGTGTGACTCTCTGTTCAAGAAGAGCATTGTTATTTGAATTAGAATGTCCCCCACAGGCTCATATGTTCAAATACCTGGACCCCAGTTGGTAGAACTGTGACCTTGTAAGAGGAGGTGTGTCACTGAGGGCAGGCCTTGAGGTTTCAGAAGCCCACCCATCTCTGTCTCATATGGCTGTGTCTCGAGATGTGAGCACTCAGATCCTGCTCCAGAGCCCATTCGGCCTCCTGCCACGCTCCCTACTGTAACCATCATGGACTCTAACCCTCTGAAACTGGAAGTCTCAAATAAAAAGTTTATAAGCTGCCTTGGTACAGTGTCTTATCTTAGCAATAGAAAAGGAAAGACAGAAGGTAACTGCATAGCTCCCTATTCAATAAGTGTAAACTTCCACACTCTAGCCTGGCAGGAAATATGGAGCAGTTGTCTATGGGATACCACAGGAGATGCATGCTTCCCCCATGTAATTATGTCCTTACCTTCCTTTCTCCATCACCCCTGCATCCCTACCCTGGTCCTGATGATGGAAACTGAATTAAAGCCACTCTTGGCAGATATATTCTTGGGAGCAGTTAATATACTAACCACCCACGCTTCTACATAGTGGTCCCCAAAGCATGTTCCCAACTTCAGCACCAGTATCACCAAGTAATCAAAATCCAGATTCCTAATCTTATCCCAGAACTCTGAGTCAGACGCCCTTGGGGCAGGACCTGATTTTTTGACGTGTGCCAAGATTAAAGCTGGTTACTCAAGAGCACGGTGTACAAAAACCTGGGCTGTGACTTGGCTGCATCACACTGTTGGTAATTGACGTTGAAGTGTGTGCTTAATCACGAATGAATCACAGCTGCTGGGCAGAGGAAGCTCAAGGGCCAATGTAGAGCGCTCTACCAAGGAGAAACGGGGGCAGCATAAGGCTCACTGCAGGGAGTAATACAAGATGCTAAAGACAAATATTTCCCTCACACTGGCAAGAGCAAGCAGGACAAACGTGCCTGCAGCCAGCCTTCCAACTCCGCGCCACAAAGAACAGGTCTCTTTTCCCACCCAGCTGGCTAACGCCCCGATCCCAGGGCTCAGTCTCCTCGCCACGCCAGCGTCAGGTGATAAACAGACACTGACAGAAAGAGCCTATGGGGCAACTGGTACTCCTTGGTCTCAGAGGAATCTAGACTTGGTGTACAGACCTGTACAAATATGTCTTCTTGTTTGTTAGAGTTCTGATGAGTCCGAGGGTGTGGCCTTTAATCATTTCCACAAAGATGAGCCAAAGGAATGAATGAATTCCACCCCCTCAGGGAGGAAGCCCTCTGATACCAGGGCCACGGCACCTTCCACTGCTTTCTGCTGCTCATTTCATTTTATTTTAATTTTTTTAATGATTTTTTTAACTTTATTTTATGTGCATTGGTGTGAAGGTGTCAGATCTCGTGGAACTGCATTTTCAGACAGTTGTGAGCTGCCATGTGGGTGCTGGGAATTGAACCCGGGTCCTCTGGAAGAGCAGTCAATGCTCTTAACCGCTGAGCCATCTCTCCAGCCCCTCTGCTGTTCATTTTAAAGATAATCACTTTCCTTTTAGAAACTCACTTTGGCTTTTTGAGACCAGACGTCACCGTGAAGATGCTAAGGAGGAGAAGGCCTCCTCCAACCAGAGATGTCAGGAGGATAATTTCAAAGACACCTTTGCAACAAAGAGAACAAAATACCATTGTCAATATAGTTCCCCGATTCATTGACAAAAATCAAATAACTTTTTCTTTTAGCCTCAGCAACATCTCTCATTAATTTTCTTCTATTTGAATTCAATTTCTTTCTATTAAAACCATTGGAATTTGGGTTCCCCATCTAGCTGTCTTTCCCCCATGTGATATGACAGATATTGATAATTTTTCTTTTGTATTAGCATATATCACTTATACAGAACAATGGGCTTCATCATGACATCTTCAAACATTATACATTATATACTGATAGATGTGTTCACCAGGGTCATCTTCCAACTTCATTCATTCAGTCAGTACTTACTGAGCATAGCTATTGGCCAGACATCATTCTGAGAAATGAAAAAAATAAGAAAGCAAGAAATACCAGATCCTTTCTCACTGGTTCTTATATACTGGGGTAGAGAGACACACACAGTAAAACTCTGACACTTAATCTAACTATTGATTTGCCTGGATGGAGGGATGCCTACAGAACAGTAAAAGCGTGCTTCTGTGTCTCTGTGAGGGTGTGTTCAGAGGACTAAACTGGAGAGCAGCTTAGGGGAAGACCAACATTCAGGGACCCGAATAGGATAAAAGTGGAAAAAGAGAAAGCCAGTCAGCAAGCGCAAGTTCCCTTCTTCCTAAGCCTGAATGTTGATTGCTAGAGGCATTACCCATGGATTTCATACTTCAGCTTAGCCAGCATTTGGACATGGACTCATGCTAACAACTCTCCAGAGAGCTCCCAGGCCTCCAGCTTTAGACAGGGACTGTATCATTAACCCAGATCTTATTCTAAAACTGAGTGGCTCCCAGGGTCTCTGTTTTGACGGCATGCTGATGACCACTGTTGGAAAACCTAGACTCCACCTACATAAACCATATCTGTTTTGTTCTTCTACAGAATCTAAAACAGAATAAAGGGTAAGGTGGAGGGAGGTTAACAACTTAATTTTGCATTTATGTATCATTTATCTAATTTTTTAGATAGGGTCTGCCTCATTGTGTAGCCCACACTGGCCTGAACTCACCGTGTAGACTGATCTAGCCTCACACCTCCCATGTTCCTGCCTCTACCTCTTGCGTGCCGAGGCTGGCATATAGCACCATGGTTAGGTATGCTCACGAGAAAGAGCTGCCCTGCACCACTACAGAGAAAAGCCTCCAGGAGATGCATAAGCCTTGGAGAAGGAGCAAGTGAGAGAAACCAGAGGCAGGGAGTGAAAGGAGGCAGGGGCGGGAGTGACCGGTGGGTTTTCTACAGGGAATCTAGAACTTGAAACTGTGACCGCTGTGTCTGAGTGTCTTGTAGAGGGCTGAGAGACAGGTAAGAACACTAGCTGCTCTTGCAGAAGACCCAGGTCCAGCTCTCAACACCCACATGGCTGCTCACAACTGCCTATAACTCCAGTTCCGGGTGATGTGAACCCTCTTCTGTATGTGGTCCACGTAAGTTCACTCAGCTACACACATTTTTCAAAAGAAAAAAAAAAGGTGGGATGGACGGAAGTTGAGTGGTCTTAATCTAATCTACAAACCAAAGAGGGAAATCCTAGGCTCCGACACAGTATCTTGTTCTCAGCTTGATCCTGAGAGAAAATACCATGAGCTGCCCAACTTGTATCCAGTGCTCTGAAAACACAGCATGATTTTTTTTTAAAGAATTTTTCAAAGGCAGCATCAAAGAGAATGCCAAGATGACATTGCTAGTCCACGGAGGAAAACATGCTTTCTGTGCAAAGGCAGATGCTCTGCTCGGGGTTCCCAGAGGCACAGTCTGTTTTATTCTTTTGGAGTATGAATCACAAAAGGATTTTGAGATGCACGAGAAGACTCTTTGTTTGGCTTGTCCTAGTTATTGCAAAACCTAACAGTGTCACGTGTGTTTTGTTTTTCCAGTTTTCTGAAACAGGGTCCTCCTGTGTAGCCCCAGCCATCCTGGAACACGCTCTGCAGAGCAGACTTTTCCCTTCTTTTTCCTTCATCTAGAACACATCCACTGCCTTCCTACTACATATCTCCCTTAGCCAACAACCATATGAACCGCTACGTTTTACATGCTTGTTAATCTATCAAGGTCTTCTTGCTCTCCGTGTTTTCAATGTAAAAGCTGGTAAGCTGAACACACACACACACACACACACACACACACCTTTTTGCTCAAAACCCCACTGAGTCTCTTCCTGTTCACTGGTAACCTCTGATCGGCCAGTTTTTTCTTCCGAGGTTCTGTTGCACAACCCCTGACATTTAGGAACTAGCGAGTGAGAGGTGGGATGACAGCCTGCCCTGGAACTACTCATGGCTGAGGCTGAAGTTGATTGCTTTCCCAAAGGCTATTGGGGGGATGCCTATCAGGAAGGAGAAGCAAAGTGAGCAGTCTGTCTTACTCAGCCCTCAGTGCGCCTGCTCCTCTGCAGCTCCTTGGTGTTCATCTTTCAGGGAGGTGGCCGACCCAGAGAGAGCACAAGGCTTCATGCTCTGCTGCATTCTGCTGGCTTTCCAGCTCTTGCCAAATGGCATCTCCCACCCAATGGAAACTCCACGCGGGGGGCCTGAAGCTGGTACTCACTGATTGACGAGGTCCTGAAGTTTATTGTTTTCCCATTGGTCCCCCCAGCTCCAGTGTTGGCCATAACCCATACGGTATAAGAGGTCCTTCGTGTCAAAGACTCCAGGTCATACTGCAGGACTTGTGAGTTAACTGTCTTGGCTGGAGGGAGAGACAGAAGCTGAACAGTTCAGCAAGCCAAACTGAAAGTACGCATTAGTGCTGACCCTCAGAGCCCTGGCCTGAAATTCTAGCCAGCCCTCTCTCAACTTTTGCTTAATTCAAGTGCATCGAGATGGAACAAAGACCTAAATATAAGAGCTAAAAGTATAAAACTCTTCAAAAGCCAAAATAAATAAGTCACAACTTTGAATTGTGAATGGTTTTTTAAAATATGATACCCAAAGCATGAACAACTGTATAAAACAATAGTAATCTGAACTTCATTAAAATTAAAATGCCTTTGTCCATCAAAAGACAGTGTAAGACTAAAATAACTATCTACAAAATTAAGAAAATATTTGTAAGTTATATATTTAATAAGGAGCTTGTACCCACATTATAAAGAACTCATAACTCAAAACCACAAAGTCAACCCAATGTTAAAATGAATGAAGAAGTTAAGAGGATATTTCTTTGAAGAAGATGGACAAGCAGCCAATGCCTACACAGAGGGCTGCTCCATATCCGTAGTGACTAGAGAAAAATAGTTTTCTAAATGAGATATACACTGTAAGATTTATTTATCTTATCTTGCAGTGAACTCAGAGCCTCGTGCATGCTAGGTAAGTGCTTGAACTCTGCGCTGCCCCCTCAGCCCTGATTACATCTTTGAAATAATCTGGGCAGGAAATGAGTAGACAGTCTGGTAGTTTCCAGAGGCTGTGGGGGGGAGGGGAATGGGAGCCACTGATTAAAGAATACAGAGCTCTCATAGGGAGAAGAAACAGGGAAAGGTGACGGCTACACAATACGATAAAGGTTCTTAAGATCTAAAAATGTTTAGTGCTAATTTTTACATTATGGATACCCTACCATAACAAAATCAAATTTAACCTAAATGAGAATCCAAACATAGCCCAGAGTTTACGGTGCCAGGAGATACTGTGGACTTAAAATGAAGCACCCAGGGTAGTGGGCGGTAGAGCTCTGCAGCCAGGCAGTGCCACCAGACAAAGTCTGTCCCCCGCACATGAACCCACTCCTTAAGCTGGGCAGATTCCAATAGGGATAATGGTCATTGAGTCTAAGGGGGTGGGTCAAGCCATTCCGTGACTGAGCAGGAGAAATCACTTCAGCGCCCCCCATTCCTCTTTAGGGGGCTTGCCTACATTCTTCTTTAAACTCTTTCAACTAAGCCGGGCAGTGGTGGCGCACGCCTTTAATCCCAGCACTCGGGAGGCAGAGGCAGGCGGATCTCTGTGAGTTCGAGGCCAGCCTGGTCTACAAGAGCTAGTGCCAGGGCAGGAACTAAAAAGCTACAGAGAAACCCTGTCTCGAAAATCCAAAAAAAAACAAACAAACAAACAAAAAAAAAACAAAAAAAAACCTCTTTCAACTATTTCATGAGGTGGTGCTCTTGACTCTACATACAGAGAGGTACAAAGAGGCTAGGTATTTGTGTAAGGTACAGATCATAGCCCTGGAAGTCCCCCCCTGTGTCAGGTCTAAGTCACATCATCTGGGGAGAGGGGCCGATTGAGTTTGCTCAGCTTGAGAACACTTACAGAATTCTTTTTCACCTTCAGCTTGGCAAAATATGGTGTAGTTATTGATAAATCCCATTCTTCTATTCTTGGGAATCTCTTCCCACACGACTGTGGCTGTCTTCAGACCGATGTTCTCCACCCTGGTCCTAGGACCTTCGCATGGAGCTTCAGCGGACAGGGAGATGAAAAAAAAAAACACGAAGGTTGAATCCCACCCAGGAAGATCCGCCCCTACCCCAGAGTTGCTACCATTGTTCAAGTAAGACCTGAAATGCTGGGGGTGAAATAAGGTGGATGCATCAACTAGTTTGTACAGGTTGTTTGTTTTGTTTTCAGTCAGGCCTATCATATACGACCACAAGGAATTTCAAAGCACCAAGAAAATGTGCTTTCTTATAGGTCCCCCATTCCAATGATCACCCAGCTTTCATTTCTATATGTAAAGCACAGCTATGATCAGCTGAAGTCTAACCTCCCTGGCCGAACTGTATACACCAGGAGACAGTTGCCAGCGTTGAAGCTAGAAGATGCTAACTTTCAAAAAGATGAAATACAATCTGAATAATGTGCAGGAAAGCCCATGCTCCTGGAACAAGCTCTTGTAGACCAGGCTGGTCTCAAACTTACAGAAATCCACCTGTCTCTGCCTCCCGAGTGCTGGGATTAAAGGCGTGTGCCACCACCGCCCAGCACTTAAAAGATATCCCGGAGGCTGCAAGACATCAGCCCAGTGGCTAAAGCGTTTGCCATGCAATTCTGAGGTCCAGTTAAGCTGGCCATGGTGACCTGGCTTGTAATATCGGAGCTGAAGCGATAGAGACAGGCAGATCTCTGGGGATTGCTGGCAAACCAGCCTAGACTGATGGGGAAGCCCAAGTCCCAGGGAGAGAGTCTCAAAAAATCAAGAAGGTGGATGGCTCCCGAGAAATGACAAGCGAGATTTGACATCTGGCCTCCACACATGTGTACCAAAACACACACGGCCAGTATGCACACACTCACAGAGAATCACTTTCAGCAAGTATCCGATGAACGTGATGGGCTTCCTGGATCGATCTTCATTAATGTTAACTTTGGTTCCAGCGCTAGTTGCTGCTGTATTGTGCCGTCAGGCAAGGAGTTTCGCCTCTGTGAACCTCGATTTCCCCTTTGTAAAGTGGGAAGTGACCGGGTCTGTTGAACTCTTTATTTCTATCTGCCCACCTTTGAAATCTAGTCACTCTGTACCTGGGGCCCAGGTGTGCCCAACACGTTTGAAAGGGAAGATTAAGCTGTGATAGAATTGGACCTGATGACAACCCAGCATCTGAATTCACCAAAGTGGGCCCCCGCCAAGGTTGAGCTACACGTACCTCCTTCTTTGGCATAAGCTTGGATGGTGTATGGCTGGCCCACTTCTTGTCCCAGCACTGGATACACTGATATATTATAGCACAAGAAAGGCTTTAATTTATCTTGAGGTAAGAGGGGGATGGAGAGAGAGAGAAAAAACTGCATAAGTACACATAATAGAATAGAGGAAACGAAGGACTACACCCCGCAGAAGACATTCTGTTTCTAGGTAAGATGGTCTCTACCATCTCTTCTGTTCTAAAATGGTCTAACTCCCAGAACTAAACTGAGGACAGTTCTAATAAAATTTACAGCCCCATCTTGAACAGGGAGAGAAGCCAGTCCTTCCTCCTCCATTGCTGATTGTATCATATGATTTGGGCACATGCTGAATAAAATGTAACCCTTCTGACAACAGCATATATGAAAATACCCTGAATTCTAGCTCCTCTATCTGCCTGTGTTACTTTATATGGCTTTTGGTTTGTTTTTGGAGACAAAGTCTCATGATATAGCCCAGGATAGTCTTAAATTCAAGATCCTCCACTCTACCCAGCCTCCTCCAGAGAGCCGGGGCTATAAATACATGCCAACCATGCCTGGCTAGCGTGTTCTTAATATAGATGCCATGAAGTACCCGGACACAGCCAGAGTGCTGAGACATCCCAGGCGAAGCTAACTTAAGTCTTACATGGGGAATGGACTTTCTTGAAATAAAGTCTGTTTACTCTGTCTGTCACTGAGGAAGGGGCCTAACTCTTAAATGGGCCACTGAGGCAGAATGGAGCTCAGAGGTAGGACAAATGGTACCCAAAATCTGGTTTCACCCCAGGATAACTGGGACTCTCCTCAGGTAAAGGTGAAGATTGTGGGTTTTGGGGGCGGGGCAGGTGCACTATATTGTTGAGCTCACAGCGGCTGTGTTCACTGTGGACATGTTCAAACCAGTCAACATTCCAGCATGAAGTGGGCAGGAGCTCATGAGCCCCACTCCAGCTGAGGCACGATTATGGACAGTTGACGATGGATAGTGAGGGGAGAGTCATCTCTCTTAAGCGTGTGTACCCCACTCTGCGATAGTCAACCACTATCCAGTGGATGGCCACACACCTATGCCCATATGGGCAGCACTAATTAGATTCAGTGGGTCATTAAAAAATAAAAGGAAAAAAGGGAGGAACAGAAGGTTGTGAGGGGTATGGAGAAAATGGGAGAAGTCAGAGGGAGGAATTAGCATAGATATGGGCAAAATGCATTGTGTGTTCACATGAAATTATCAGAGTCAATTAAAATATTATTTTAAAAAGACTCCCTTTTCTATGTCAAATTATGATTAGCCCTGGCAGGGTATCTAGTAAGCACCATTATTCCCTGTGTCTCTATTGACATGTATGGAGAAGGTTGTGTTTACTTCCCCCACCTGGGGACAGGCTTTCTGTGCCAGCTTCACCCGGGACATATTGAGAACTGTGACAGTTTACTAAACTTCTCCAGGGCTGTCCCTCACGTTACAGCTTTAAAGAGAATTCAAAAGTTGATTTCAGTGAAACCGAATCCCACATCAAGGGAGCCTGCAGGGTCTGTGCCAGCTACCTTGCTCGATGGTCCAGTTTGTGACGTGAAACACGGACTCCCACGAAAGGGCAGAGAACTCCGACTCTGCCATTTCTGGGAGCCACTCCACCATCCAAGAGTCCACCTCGGGAATGGAGCTCTCCCACTCCACCACCAGCAGAGGCTCAGCAAGGCGGGCCTGCATATCTCTGATGCACTGGATGGCTGAAGAGAGAGGAAAGGACAAATTCCCAGCTGCCACACTCGGCCCAAATGTACCAGCCCCACAGGCATCCCTCACTGCCAGACTGCAAAATCTCCACTGTATCATCTCTTGCCACTTTATTCTCATCCTTTTCCCCTTTCTTTACCCAATATCTCTGATGATGAAATGACTTCTTAATCTGCTCTTACAGCCCCCCCTCCCAAACTGCTTTCCAGAAACAGACCTCACTAGTGAGCTAGAACCCGAAGGGACATATGTCCCATGCCTTCTCTGCCAGTCAAAACCTCTCCCAGCAGGAGTGGGAACCTAGTCTCATCTCTAAAAGCTCATGGGTTCCCAAACTGACTCTGGACTTGAGATTCCAATTGCTACTCCTGCACGAAAGCCAGGTAATCTGTCCACTTGGAAAGGTGGCTCTGGGAAAAGTGAGGCTTGAAGATGTTAAGATGAGGCAGGGGAAGAGCCTGGGAGAGAAGCGCGGAGCCCGGACATCATTGCCCTCTCTTCCTCAGGACTCCTGACTCTTCTCCTCTGCCCCCTCTTGCCTCCCCCTACCTCCCCCTACTTCCCCCGCCTCCACCTGCCTACCCCTTCCTCCCCCTGCGCACATCTCTTATGAGTCGATGAATATCCTCCAAAATGATATCCCCAGTGCTACAGAAAACGACCTTATGAGAAGATGGGATCACCGTAGATGTGGTGTGGATGGGGGCCCTGCGTTCAGCATAACTGATGTCCTTATGAGAAAGGGATGATTAGGGAGGGCAAAGCCAGGAAGACGGCTCAGTCAGTAAAGTGCTTAAGACACAAGCACGAGGAACTGAATTTGATCTCCAACACCCACATAAAACACTGAGTTCAGTAGACTGGGGAGACAGAGACAGGGGAATCCCTGAAACTACTCAGTTAGCTGGTCTACCTAAGCTGGTAACCTCTGGGACCAGTGATTGAACCGTGTCTCTTTATTGCTGGGATGACCTAGCAGTAAAGAGAACTTGTTCTTGCAGAAGGCTAGAACTGAGTTCCCAGCACCTACATTGGATGCTCACAAGTGCTGTCAGCTCAGGGGGATCCAATGCCTATGGTCTCCTGGGGCACCTACACTCACATGCACACACCTACATACAGGCACACACATATACACATGATTAAAAATAGTAGGAGGATTAAAAATAGGAGGAAGTGGTGGTGCATGACTTCAACCCCAGCACTTCAGAGCCAGAGGTATGAGGATCTTCTTTGAGGCCAGTTAGCCTACATAACAAGTTTCAAACACACACACAGAATCTTAAAAAATAAAGTGGAGAGATTGGGGCTGGAGAGATGGCTCAGTGGTTAAAAACAGTGGCTATTCTTCCAGAGGACCTGGGTTCAGTTCTCAGAAGCTCACAACTGTACTCAGGTTCCAGTGGATCTGATTCCCTCACAAAGAAACACAAGTCAAACACCAATGCATATAATTTTTTTAAAAAAATTAGGAAATAAAAAATAAAGTGGAGAGCAATTAAAAAAGACAACCGATGTCTGTCTCTGGCCTCCACACATGTATACAAATTAACATGCACAGAAACACATTCAAGAGAAAAGGAAAGGAAAGGAAAGGAAAGGAAAGGAAGGAAAAGAAAGAGGAGGAGGAAGGGAAATAGGAGCTATTGGAGCTGCCCCAAGCCAGAGCCTAGGGCCCCAAGAAGCTTGGAAGGATTAAGGAGAGTCCTCATCTAGGGACTCTTGGGGGGAGCATGGTCCAGTCCACAGCTTGCTTTTTATACCTCTAGCCTCCCTAACCAATGTGTTCCTGTTGTTTTAAGCTGCCCAGTTGGCAGTGGGACAATAAGGTGGTACCTTGGTTTAATTAGCCTCCTCCCTGCCTGCCTATGTCTTCCACTTCCTTCTCTGGTCTCCTGGAGACACTTTGGTAACAAATGCCTTGGCAAGGAATCCTGCCCTGCAGATGAGTGAGCGTTGCTTCCAAACCTCACACTCTTCCTGCCCACCAATCCTGGAGCTCAGAAAGAGCAGGAGAGCTAGGTCTACTGTGCCAGGTATGAGGCTAGGAGAAGATCATGAGGAGGTTGGAAAGGAGTCCAGAAACTATGAGTCAGTCATGCAAGAGGGGAGGCCTGGCCTCAATAAGGAGCACTAAGAGACAAGTTTCTAAATCACCCTACAGAATAAAGACTAATTGCTGGCTCCATCCATTCCTCAAGAGGAACCCGCTCCCGATATAAAACATTCTCAAGAGGAAGAGGAAAACAAGATTAGCCCCAAAAGCAGGGAAGAGGTTAGACTTCGAGCATCATTGATGTCTTACGACAGATCACCCTGGATCTAGTAAATACCATTCTCAGGACCACTTCCCCCTTGCCAGCTGAGACTCATCACCAACTCTCCATGATGCTGTCGCCACTGTCCCACAGGCTAACTCACCACAAGTGGCTTATCTTTTCCACATCCTGTACCAGACCACTGCTGCCCGTGACCAAAGACACATAAAATTCAGGAAGTTCAAGTAGAGGGACCCTGAGGGTTATCTCTGCCAAACCTTTATTCTAAAGATGAGAACATGGGGCCCACAGAGGCACATAATCATCTTGGCTTGTATAGTATCTGTGACCAGAATCCCAAAGTCACCTTATGAATATGAATTTCAGCAGTTTAGTTCATGGAGACAGGCTGGAATCACACTGGGAAAATCGTGCACAAACTGCAAAACTGTCCCGGATCTTTTCATCATGTGGAAGACAGATCTAACAGCATCTGCATCATGGGGCAATTCACAGCTGAGATAGCCTGTGCCATCTTACCACAACACCTGACACAGCCCAATACACAACATGCACTGATCATATTAATGCAATGATAGCTAAGTGTCAAAAATATTATTACCTAACTCCCAGGTGATTTTATTTTATTAAACAGAATTTTGTAGAGTCTTAGTTTTCTGTGATAAATTATGATAAACACTGAAAGAGCAGTCAGAGGTATAACGGACATTATCTTTTCCTGTGTCTCCATTAACATGCACGGATAAAGCCTTTGACACACATGGGTGCCGCACCAAATAGCTGCTGTTGTCAGTGGTCACCGATACTGGAAAAGGAAGACTTATGCTTTCCTAGTTGTCTATGACAACATTCTGCAAACTTCCTCTGTAAGAGCCAGACAGTAAGCATTTTAGTGTTCACAGGCTATATAACACAGCCTCCTAGAACACAACGGTTGTACAAAGAGGCCACAGAGCACATGTAAAGATGCATATTAACAATATTTCAAAAACTTTGTTTGAAGAAAATAAAAGTGTACCAAGCTGGATTACCAATACTTTGTCTAGGACCATTATAGGCAATAGCTTCAATACAAAAATTAAAAAAAAAAAGGCCCTCAGTGAATTTAGCATAACTTTAGCTAAAGTGCATTTTATAGTATTTTTAAGTTGACAACCCATATCTAGCAGAAATGTATTTCTTAAGAACGATGGTAGTGGGTAGGGATATCAGTGGTAGACAGCTTCGCTGTATTGCACCCCCAGTGCTGCAGAGGGAGGAAATGAGACAGAGACACGGAGACAAGAGAGAACGACGACAATGAGACCAGAGATGAACTCAACTGGTAGAGTGCTTGAGACCCTGGTTCAATCCTCGGCAGAGCATGTACCTGGCTTGGTAGTACACTTGGAAAGAAGGAATACGGGAGTTACAAACTCAAGGTCATCTGCTGCTTTGTGCACTGAGGAAAACCCAGTTACATGAGACCCTGCCTCAAAACAAAGATGGTAGTGATCTGCGTGGGACAACATTTCCAGAGAGGATCTCACTCCCTCCTCGCAAAAGTTTGTGATGTGGTTGTATTATGAAAGCATTCCAGGTTACACCCATCCTAAAGAGGTTAGCTAGCTTTCCCAATGGAATGGTGCCTTTTGGAAGAGCAAAAAAACCCAGGGCTGCTGGACTCCAAGGACAATGTATCCATCCCCTGTTCTCTATTGCTTCCCATGACGGAGCCACGGTGGGAACCGCCAGTACCTCCATTTAATAAGAAACACATATTCCAATCACGTATCATTTGTTGAAAATACCACTAGAATCCTAGACACTGGAACAAAGGTGTTAAGGACCAGATGGGCATGGTGGTGCAGATCTTTAATCCCAGCACTCAGCAGACAGAGGCTGAGGGATCTCGGAGTTCGCAACCAGCCTGGTCTACAGAAGGAGTTCCAAGATAGCCAGTGCTGTTACACAGAGAAACCCTGCCTCAATACCATTAAACATTGACTCAAAACACAAGAGTATGAGTTTCCCAGAATCCTGAAATGAAGACAGAAGAGGGTTTAAGAAGAGAAGAGGGAAGGGAAGGCAGAGAAGTCTAGAGCTAGTTGTACAAATGTCTGAGCCAGGCTGAGCTGTACAAATGTCAGCTGCTATGTTGTTTGGTGTGTCCGAAATTATATTTTTAAAAAAGAAACAAACAAACAAAACCTGGCAAATGAACAGACAAAACCCTGCCCTCCAGGTTCACTCTCAAGAGTAGTGGGACAACACAAATTGGACTCATGGTGGGAGGGAGAAACAGAAGAAGAAAACTCTAATCGGGGGAGGTGAGGAGGCTGGGGGAAGAGGGTGGATCTAGGAGGAGGTAGAAGGAGACGAATGTGGTCAAAATACATAAATGACATTCTCAAGAATTAATAAAAATATTATTTTAAAAGATTTACTGCCCTCGTGGGGTATGTATTCTCTTGAAAAAAGAAAATGTTGGGAGGGAGGAAGGGAGGGAGGGAGGGAGGGAGGGAGGGAAGGAGGGAGGGAAGGAGGGAGGGAAGAAGAGAGGGAGGGAAAGATAGAGAGAAATTGTACTTAGAAACCTGAGGAGGAGGGAAAGGTTGAAATACCAATCCCAAAATGAGGAGGCTGAAGAGAAAGCTCAGTAGGTGTTTTCTAGACAAGCATGAGGGGCTGGGTTTGGGCCCTGAGTACCCACTTAAAAGCCAGGCCTGGCAGAGCATGTCTGCAGTCACAGCATGGGAGGAAGCCAGGAGGGAGTTTCCTGTCAGGTCACTAGGTGAGGGATCATGTTCCAAACAGTGGCGGGGAGAGAGGAGGAAGGTGTCGACCTCTGGCCTCCACAGCGGTGTGCTCTGGTTCCCTCACGCTCGCTCGTGTACACACACACACACACACACACACACACACACACCCATGCAAACGTGCAGTACAGCGCTCACTCCCTCACACACAATCCACCTAGGCTTTTTATTCCAAAACATAGAAAATAAGGCTTTGCTGCTTTGCCTGTGTTTGGTAAAATGCTCAGAACTACTTCAGCAACAGTGTAACTGCCAGACATGGTGGCTATTGTCAACAATACCATCCCTCATGAGGCTGAAGCAGAATGGTCTGTAAGTTAGAGGCCAGCTACAGAGTGAGATCTTGTCTCAAAAGAATTTAACGAACAACTAACTGGCAAGTTTACATACACATATAAGCAGTTTTCCTAGCTGGTCCGTCAAACAGAAGGGGAAGGAGAAAAAACAGGAGAGTGAGCACTAAACCACAGGGCAGAGCCATCTGGGAAGAAGAGGGTTCAGGAGAACACACAGTCATTGAGGACACAGGCCTCAAACACGACTGTTTCTTTTCTGTGGCTCAACCCATCACCCAGCCACTTGGACCAGAACCAACAAAAGTAGCGTGCAGAGCTTCCAGGCGCTGACTGTGCTGTGTGATTCAGGCTCTAAACATGCAGCCCAGACTTTGCTCTGAAGGAACTGTATCTTGGGGTGAAAAGTCTTACTGGTTATCAGCAGGTTCTGTTCCCCCACAACAACCTAAAGAGCCCTTGCTCCAACCCTTCTATTTGATTCAGGAGGAACAACTATCCCGAGGACACGGACTGCTCTTTCTTCAACCAGATGGAACTAGACGCTCGAGGAAGGGGTACTTACTCTCCTCATGAGCTGCTGGGATCCTCAGGACGGCCTCTTGAGACTGACCAAGAAAATTAAAAGAAGTCACAGACACGTAGTGTGTCTGGCCCGTCAGAAGCAGTTCATACTGCTGGTTGGTAACATTGTTTATCTCTGTGAGGTTGGTGCTGTTTTCTGCAAAGTACTGTATGTTGTAGCCAAGTGTTCTCTCCAGGATGGGGGCTCCTTTTGCCTTCTGTATCCAAAGAAAAGAAAGGAGATTGTCGAAACCAGAAAGAGAAAGACATGGGGACAATGATAAATGGAGCAATGTCATGTTAGCCATCAGATGCTAAGTTGTAACATTTGCCCTGTGGTGATGTTAACCCTTCAAGTGCCAGAAGAAATGATTTACCAAATGGTGCCTGCATATCAACTCTCAACATGAAACCAGTTTCATGGGTCTAAATTGGGACTAGCAAGCCACATCCCCTTCCTTCTGCGTCCTTCATTCTGTCATGCGCAGGTAGAGGTATAAAAGCTAAAAGGTCAAGGCTTTCCCTTCTGGGTCAAAATCAAGTTCAGAAGTCATCAAAGGTGGGTGGGTAGCTGTGCCTTTATCTTTTACTCCCACAGCTCCCCGCTCTAGAGAGGGAAGACAGATGTCCTGGACCAGACATCCAGCTAGGTAATCCAGCCAAAATACTCAGGGTTTCCCTGCCAGTCCCCTCAGCAGGAAGCCCGAAGTGCAAGTCCATAAACTGTGACTCAGATTCCTATTTGTAGTCTTAAACTTGGAGCCACTGACCAGATGTTTTGTCTGCGAGTAAACATATGAATTATTTCCCGGGAATTATAGGGATTCCAAGTTTTCCTGTATTAGTTACTGATTGCAAACATCATGGAGTAGAATGAGAGGACCTGTGGTCAGACAGAGTTTTAATTCACTTTGGCACAACATCATCACAGTCCAGGAATTCCCTTTCATTGACCACAGCAATGAAAGACCAGCTAGAACCTCTAAGGACAAGGATCCCCCTGTCTCCCAAGACAGTGCCTTATCTTTCCTTCCCCTTTAGCCTTTGCCGATATGGTACTCATATCTTATAAAATTTGCTGGGTTTTATTTTCTGTTCATTTTCAGTGCTAGAAATCCCACCCGCAGCTTTACCCACACTAGCCAAACTCCCCACCACTGAGCCCATCTTAGTCACTACTTCAGTGTGTCCAGATCAGCGATTTTCAAGACAATCATAGAATCTCACCACCTTTACCACTATCAAGACTTTCGAGTCTTTTAGTGAATGCTTTGCTAAATAAGTTGACTTCTTAGAAAACCCTCTCCTACTGAGGCATAGAGAAGACAGTCCTCTAGGAAGGAGGAGGAGGCAGGTGGGGAAGCCTGGTCACTTACTTCCCAGGCTGGCCTCTTGCCTCCTACCTACCACAGTATAGCTAAGACCTCGCAAGGTTCACCCCTCACTTTCCTGCCTGAAGACAAGAGTGTGAACAGAGCCGTCTCTTTCCACACCTTACCGCATCTGGGGTTCATATCAATGACTTCCCAACTTTGGCTGTGCTCTCCTATGCCCCTGTCTCTGCCACCTAAGGATGTCCCAAGAACATAGACAAAAGCAGTGTCAAGCCTGCAGCAATTGGTTTTGGATGTCACTCAGCCAGCTAGGGTGATGTCTCCATTTAAAAAGCTCTAAGCTGCCAAGCGTCAGCAAATGGATCACTTCCTAGTGGCCCTGGAGACACATTAGATCGAGCTCTAACACATTTTCCCTCTCGCCATCTCTTCTTCCCTTCAACCTCTCCTTTATCTCTTTTCTGCTTCCTGCAGCTTGTCTTCTGCCCCTTCCTTTCCTGTTTACCTCTTTGTTTTCCTTTCTGTCCCTTCTCCTCTTCTTTTCTTCTTAGTTCCTCCCTCCCCATCTTCCCTGTATCACCTACCATCTTCATTTTTCCCCTCAAGCCCAGGTTGTCATCCTAGAAAGGATCATGTAACCGCTCTTCTGCCTTTGCACACCACACTACTTTAGTACTTAAAGGAACACACGTCTCAAATATGTTGGCAATATCAGATGACCTGCCCCCCGTCGATGCTCTTCTTGGGTGTAAGGATGAGGTTGCAAAATCTTGCACTATATTCTAGGGGATGGCAGTCCCGGGGGAGCTTCCTCAGGAAGACCATGGTGCATTCTGCCGTTGCACTTTGTAATTGCCCCAATTATAATGATTCAGATAGAAGAAAGTATCCCATGTCTGTGATGTGTACTTGGGCTTTCTACACGGTAGCTGATGGGGAGCTTCTGACCTGCACAGCTGTGAGTTCTGAGGTAGCACAAGGACCTATAGGACAGGATGGTAGGGTAAAACATTGAGAATCATGGGGTTTTAAGGGGAGGAGACTAAAGGTTTTTTGTTTTGTTTTCAAGTTTTTTGAGATAGTGTTTCTCTTCGTAGCCCTGATTATCCTGGAACTCGCTTTGTAGACCAGGCTTGAACTCACAGAGATCCACCTGCCTCTGCCTCCTGAGTGCTGGGGTTAAAGGTGTGCACCACCACCACAGGCTTCTAACCAGGGAGTTAAGTACAGCGAAGGAAGATCACCTTCCACAGCAGCACCACCTTCCTCGTTCCATCCACACCGGCCGGGCCCACAATTCTCCACAGGTCCAGGATGTGCGGAACTGGAAAGAACAAGAAGGACTGCGTAACTGACAGAACGGGGTTGTAGCAGCAGATATCCCCTGGACCACTGGGCACTCTGCCCTTGGCAAGGAGGGGACAAACAAAGCAGAGAGGAGGGAGTCAGCCTTGTAACGCCCAACAAGGTCTTCATTCCAGGGCTGAAGGGCTGGAATCAACCACATCTCCAAATAAATCTGCTCTTCTTCTGATAACTTAATAACAGTGTAAAGGAGGAAGAGTAAAATATGCTCCATTGGGATTCACCTGGTCCCCTAAAGCTGGGTGGAAACGCACTTTGTCCTCTGAAATTTGACACCTGTGTACATTAACACACTAGCCCTTCCATCTGCAATCAATCACATACTAGTAGACCTACCAATGACCAACAGTGACAGTGGCTAACTTCTAGCAAGTACCACTGCACTAAGTGTCTTATCTGGATGAGCACATATAATCCCTACAGCCCATCACTGTGGGGATCTGACATTACCATCCTCATAGAGAAATGAAGGAATTGCCAAATTATACAAGCTTTAAAGTAACACAGCCAGGATTTAAATCCTGGATATGTACCATATGAATAGATATTTAAACAGAACTTTTCAGATTATTAGACAGATAGTCCTAATAATGAATAGGTTAAAAGAAAAAGGTAGCACCTCAATTTGGCTTAGAACTTTTCAAATAATTATAAGGTTTGAGAAGATACGAATTAGACAAATAGAATTCCATTATGAAATAGGGAATAGATGATTTATGAATTGGAAAACAAGAACTTAGGAACTTCTGGAGTTTAGGTCATACAATCATCTAGCCCTCTCAGATCCTGAAAAAGAATGAAGAAAAACAAAAGCCAAAAAAAAAAAAAGGCTCTGCTCAGAGCCAAAGTTCTCTGGGGGTGGTTTGTAAGTGTTGATCTGGTTAGTCAGCAAATGACACCCAGCTGAACTAATAAACAGAAGAAATAATAACTTGTCATGCTGACAGCAGAATAAGTTGAGGACATGACATGAGGACATACTGGACCGAGAAGCAGGCTAGGCTTTTTTTAAAAAGAATTGTTAGAATGGGCCATGATAGCACCATGAAAGAAAAATGATGGCAACAGCAAGGAGATTTGGACAAGCCACAACCACACTCTAGGTGCTATTTCATCACCGAACTACCCGGTGAAGGGTGTAGCTGGGAAGAGGACAGTTTGGGCCATGAACGTGAGGTTCATTCTGATGTTTGTAGGAAGAGTGCAGCTCAACCCTGATTATTCAGCACACCTGGCTGTTTTCAGCATGCATTTTATGTGATGTTTTATACCTATAGTTATTTGTATTGCTTGGGCATTCGGAGATGATGTTTATAGAATATATGATAAACATATACAATTTTAATCAAAAAATTTATTTTTTTAATATAGCCATCAATATGTGCTAGACCTGGTCCTTTGACCCAAGCATGTGGTTTTGAATTTTCTGTGGTATCTTTCCCACATTACCAGAGCATGGCATGTAAGAATTGAATCTCAGACGAGACGGGCACAATTCCCCATGCCTGAAGCTACATCCATGAAGAGAAGGTTACAGACTAAGCCTGAACCCCTCCCATGAGGAATGCAAATTCAAAAGGTATCATGTGGGTTCCAGAATCCAACCAAAAGGCTGAATATAGCAAATATGTGATAGTTCCAAGCTGGTCTCACAGAAATTTAAGCAGGCTCGGGAAGAAAAACAAATCCTGGGTCATGAGTACAGAAGTTGTTCCAGCGGCCAGTGTGTGAACTGACTCTTTCTCTTGCTGTCATTAAAAATATGACCTATTTTCTTGTATTATCACTACAGTCATATACTTAGTGACTATTTTAAAGATTTTTAAGATGTATAGTTTCAACTTATCATAGGATGTCATTATAGGAAATCATATCACTTCTAGTGTGTAAGAATCTCCTAAGAGGGATTGGAGAGATGGCTCAGTGGTTAAGAGCATTGGCTGCTTCCAGGGGTCTTGAGTTCAATTCCCAGCAACTACATGGTGGTTCACAATCATCTATAGTGGGATCTGATGTCCTCTTCTGGCATAAAGGTAAATATGCATATACATAAAACAAGCAAATAAATATTTTTTTAAAAAATCTCCTAAAGAGTATGACAGATAAGATCCTATTTCTCTGGGAACATAGGTTGCTATAGTAACTAGTCATCTGAGGAACACGGCTCCCTCCCAGGGGCTCAGCAGATACTATTAGTGCTTATGAAGAGGGGGCCCGCAGATACGCTAGGACTTGCTTTTCTCAAGATGAATCCTAAGCATGGCATGTGTCAAAAGCCAGCAAGACTAGAACCAGGATAAGCAGACTTTGAATAGCAGAGAGTGGCTTGCCTTCCTCCATAGTCACTCCATTTTTTTCTTGGCTCCAGTTGCTCCAAAATCTTGACTCATTGGTCTTGAATCGTAGAGCTATGACATATTCCGTGAAAACCTGAAGCCCCGTGAGGTTGTAGACCTTGTTATGATCCTCGAAACTGACCTCTTTCTGAAAGACAGAATGGATGCTAAGCAGAAACAGAGACAGCATGGATTATTTTACTGTGTGTGGGAAAAGGTCCATGACAGCTGCCTAGACATGTTTAAAACATAGGCTGAATGTCATGTGACTAGATATAATCACAGAGGTCTGGAAAATAAATGATAACCAAAGAAATAAGAGTCACTGTCCCTGAGGGTCTGCTGGCTTGCCACAGGGCTCTGAATCAGTCACCACTTTTATGAATGATAAAGCTATAGAAGTTATCAAATCTGAAGGTTTTAAACATCAGAAAACAAAATGTTAATGGTAAGTTTGGGGTAGCAGAATAAAGAGTCTAAATAGGCTGAAATAATGGATGAGACTTCCATGAAGAAATCCAATGGTAATTAAAAAACACTTGAATTTTGGTTAATTTTCTGGTGGCCGACACTGCTGTACACAAACCAGGATATACTATAAATGCAAATTTCTAATTATTTAGGGTGTTATTGTGCTCAGAATACAAAATGCATATGGTAGAATATGCTTCCAAGCTAAAATCACAAATGGAAGATGGAGAAGTAGAATAGTACAATAGTCACTATTATTTTTTTTCCTGCTTCCCATGTAAAAAGAAAAAAAAAAAACCACAATTCCAGATGAGCAAAACTGCCAGTGAAATCATTCCTCGGGTCTCTAGCAGAAATACCATAATGGCGGAACTTACCCAGTGGGTACTGTTCACAGCCCTGAACCGAAGGGTGCACCTTAGAGGATCGATAGGAATCTTCTCACGGGGTTTCCACCATATCTGGAACATCTGATGCGAAATTGGATTCACACTTAAAATTATAGGTGGTTCAGTTTTCACTAAAAAAAAAAAAAACAATAAAATAAAACCCTCATAATTATAGACTGACAGAAGATACTAACAACATCCACCCAGAGTTGAGTGCGCAGACACCCCAGAGAGCCAATGACAGCCCATAATCTGTGGCTTGCTGTACGCAGATCCACCAGCAGGCCAGTGGGAAGAGAACGTCACTCTCCCAAAGCCCTGTACCGAAGGAAAGAACATGCCCAGCCAGAAGAGGAGTGCTCCCATGAGTCCTGCGCAAATAAGTCCTTTACTCAATACCAGGCAAAATGATAGCAAAACAAAAGAATATGTTCAGTGACGACAATGATGCAGTCATAGATAAATATGGCTCGTGGAATAACCTACAACCGAATTATTTATGAAGAGTTGGCAGAAGCAACTAGCAGGCCTGTGTCCTTGGCCCCCATGCTGGAGAATGGCCAGCAGAAAATGCCGCTCATCTTCCTTGCACACCGCCAACATCATGGGCCCAAATTTCCTTTCTTGAAAATATGTATTTTAGTCAAGCATGGTGACTCATATTTATAGTCCCAGAACGTGAAAGGCTGGTGGATACAGACCAAAGCCCTGGCTTAAAGAAATAAAAACAATTTTCTTGAAAAATCCTGAAGTAGGGGGACATCACAACAGACATGGAGGAAACCCAGAGAATCATCAGGTCATACTTTGAAAATCTGTGCTCCACAAAATTGGAAAACTTAAAATAAATGGACAATTTTCTGGATAAATTTCACCAAAATTAAATAAAGACCAATTAAGCAAATTAAATAGACTTATAACTGCTAAAGAAATAGAAACAGTCATCAAAAGTCTCCCAACCAAAAAAGCCCAGGACCAGATGGTTTCAGCACAGAATTCTACAAGATTTTCAAAGAAGAACTAATACCAATACCCCTCAAATTGTTCCACACAATAAAAACAGAAGGAACAATGCCAAACTCTTTTTATGAGGCTACAATTACCCTGATACCCAAACCATAGGAAGATATTACTAAGAAAGAGAATTACAGACCAATCTCACTCATGAACATTGATACAAAAATACTCAATAAAATACTGGCAAACTAAATCCAAGAACATATTAGAAAAATCATCCACCATGACCAAGTCGGCTTTATCCCAGAGATACAGGGATGGTTCAACATATGAAAATCTGTCAATGTAATCCACCATATAAACAAACTGAAAAATAAAAACACCATATTATCGTCTCATTAGATGCTGAAAAAGCTTTCAACAAAATACAACATCCCTTCATGATAAAGGTGTTGGAGAGAGCAGGAATGCAAGGAACATATCTAAACATAATAATGGCAACATACAGCAAGCTAACAGCCAACATCAAACTAAATGGAGAGAAACTTAAAGCAATTTCACTGAAATCAGGAACAAGACAAAGTTGTCCACTCTCTCTATATCTATTCTATATAGTACTTGAGGTCCTAGCTAAAGCAATAAAGACAACAAAAGGAGGTCAAGGGGATATGACTCAGAAAAGAAGTCAAACTCTCATTATTTGCCTATGATATATGATAGTTTACATAAGTGACCACAAAATTTCTACCAAGGAACTACTACAACTCATAAACACCTTCAGTAATGTAGCAGGATACAAGATTAACTCAAAAAAAAAATCAGTAGCTCTTCTGTACACAGATGATAAATGGGCTGAGGAAGAAATCAGAGAAAGCCACAAATAGCATAAAATAACTCGGAGTAACTCTAACCAAACAAGTGTATGATAAGAACTTTAAGTCTTTGAAGAAAAAAATTGAAGAAGAAACCAAAAAGTGGGAAGAGCGTCCATGCTCTTGGATAGGTAGAATTAACATAATAAAAATGGCAATCTTAGCCGGGCGGTGGTGGCACACGCCTTTAATCCCAGCACTCGGGAGGCAGAGGCAGGCGGATCTCTGTGAGTTCGAGGCCAGCCTGGTCTACAAGAGCTAGTTCCAGGACAGGCACCAAAAACTACAGAGAAACCCTGTCTCAAAAAAAAAAAATGGCAATCTTACCAAAAGCAATCTACAGATTCAATGCAATACCCATCAAAATCCCAGCAAAATTCTTCACAGACCTCAAAAGAAAAATACTCAACTTCATATGGAAAAGCAAAAACCCAGGATAGCCAAGACAATCCTGTACAATAAAGGAACTTTAAATACTTCTCTGACATCAAACTCTACTACAGAGTTACAGTACTGAAAACAGCCTGGTATTGGCATAAAAACAGATAGGAGGACCAACGGAACTGAATCAAAGACCTGGATATCATTCCACGCACCTACAAACATCTGATTTTTGACAAAAAAGCAAAGCATATAAAATGGAAAAAGGAAAGCATATTGAACAAATGGGTACTGATATAACTGGATACTAACATGTAGAATGAAATAGATCCATATCTATTGTCGTACACAAAACTCAAGTCCAAATGGATCAATGACCTCAACATAAAGTCAACTACACTGAACCTATTGAAGAGAAAGTGGGAAGTATACTTGAACGCATTGACACAGGAGACCACTTCCTAAATATAACACCAGTAGCATAGACACTGAGAGAAACTATTATTAAACAGGACCTCCTGAAACTGAAAAGCTTCTGTAAAGCAAAGGACATGGTCAACAAGACAAAATGGCAGCCTACAAAATGGGAAAAGATCTTCACCAACCCCATATCAAACAGAGGGCTGATCTCCAAAATACACAAAGAACTTAAGAAATTGGTCATCAAAAGAATAATCCAATAAAAAAAAATGTGGTACAGACCTAAACAGAGAACTCTCAATGGATGAATCTAAAATGGCTGAAAGATACTTAAGGAAATGTTCAACATCCTTAGCCATCAGAGAAATGCAAATCAAAACAACTCTGAGATTCCATCTTACACCTGTAAGAATAGCCAAGATCAAAAACACTGATGACAGCTTATGCTGGAGAGGATGTGGGGTAAAGAAAACACTCCTCCATTGCTGGTGAGAGTGCAAACTGGTACAACCTTTTTGGAAATCAGTATGGTGATTTTTGATTTCTCAGAAAATTAGGAACAACTTTCCTCAAACCCAATAATGCCACTTTTGGGCATATATCCAAAGGACATGTGCTCAACTATGTTCATAGCAGCATTGTTTGTCATAGCCAGAACCTGGAAACAACCTAAATGCTCCTCAACAGAAGAATAGATAAGGAAAATGTGTTACATTTACACAATGGAGTACTACACAGCAGAAAAAAAATGACGTCTTAAATTTTGCAGGCAAATGGATGGATCTAGAAAACATATTGAGTGAGGTAACCTAGACCCAGAAAGACAAATATAATATGTACTCACTCATAAGTGGCTTTTAGATATGAAGAACAAAAGCAACCTACAATTCACAATTCCAGAGAACCTAGACAACAATGAGAACCCTAAGAGAGATATACATAGACCTAATCTACATGGGAAGTAGAAAAAGACAAGATCTCCTGAGTAAATTGGAGAGTGGGAATCATGGAAAAAGGTAGAAGGGGAGGGCGGAGGAAGGGAGAGGAGTGGAGAAAAATATATAGCTCAACAGATCAAAAAAAAAACTACTGTTAAAAAATGTTTAGTTTCTAAAAAGAATGTCACACTGTTAATCTTTAAGTCCCTGTATTAGAAGTCTGGTTCTCACCTGTGGCTACTGGAAGGTCATGGCACTTTTAAGGGGTGGAGCCTAGTAGGCAGTTTTGGGGCGGCACTAGGCATTTACTTTTGAAGAGGACAATGGAGCTGCGATGACTTTCTCTCTCTTCTGTTTTGTTCTCCAGCCAGGAAGTAAAGGGCTTTGCAGCAATGGGGCTGACCAGCACAGACTGAACCCTCTAAAACAAGTCTTTTCTCTTTAATAAACAGTCTAGATATGTGGTATAGCAACAAAAAGCTGACCAACACTGTTAGCACTATGTTTAAACTACCCCAGGAGGCTAGAGACATGGCTCAGAGTGTGTAGTGCTACCACAGAGGACCCAAGTTCAGGTCCCAGCACCCACGTCAGGTAGCTCACAATCACCTTTCAGCTCCAGCTCCAGGGGGTTCGACTCCCTTGGCCTTTATAAGGTCCTGGGCCCATGTGTGTGCATGCTCCCACACCCACATGCAAAATTAAAATTAAATAAAAAGACACCTTTTAAAAAGTGAGCTCAATGGGCCAGGCATGATAGTACATGCCTATAACCCTAGCACCTGAGAGGCCGAGGACATGAGAATCAAATTTCATTTTAGCTGTATAATGTGAGGCCAACCTGCCCCCAAACACTGAAGTCAAACAATCAAAATTACTTGGAATGGAACAAATGGGCAAAGTGCAGTCATTTAAAAACCTTAGAAGAAAACACAGCAAAAAATTAATTAAAGTTGGTGATGATTTGTTTCTTAGAGGCAATCTCTGAAGCACAAGCAATAAAAGAGAAACCAGTGCACTGAGTTCATCAAACTTATTTTGCTGTCTAAAAAGACACTATCAAAAAATTTAAAAGATCAAAAAAATGTTAAAGATCATCCAAACAAAGGGAGAAAATATTTGTTAATCACCTATTCCAAATAGAAAGAAACCTTAAAACACAACAGAGCTGGGAAGGGATCAGTGGGGTAGGAGCAGGACAAGAAAAGTCATGGGAGGAATATTATCAAAATATGTTTTATATGTGTGTGGAAAGGCCATGATGAAAGCCATTGCTGGTGATTAATATAGCCAATGAAATACTTTTCAAAAAAAAGTAAAAATGGGCAAGATTTTTAAATGAAACAGACACTGCAGATGCCACAACGTGAATCAGGACCCCAGTGGGGTACAAATCACACTGACCCACCAGCACGACTATAAAGAAACCGGAATCTTCATACACAGTCAGTGAGAATGGTAACGGCTAAAGAAGAAGTTAAATTGAGTTGCCAAGGGACACAGCAATTGCAGTAGGTATAGATCTAAGATCATTTAAGATATTTTCAAGCAAACATTTATACCAATGTTCACAGAAGCACTATTTATACTAACCAGAAAATAGGAACAACCTAATTGTACCCCAGCTGACAAATGGATCGATGTAAGACGACACACCCATTTCATGGAATGTAAGTCAACCATTGAAATGGAGCAGCGTCTTAACAAATGACAGACCTTGAAGTCATTATAGAAGCCAGATAAAAAGACCACAGATTACACAATTCTATTTATATGAAATGGTCCTAGTAGGTAAATCTATAGGGATAAAAAAACATGCTTGAAGTTGCTAGAAGTTGGAGGAAAAGGCAAAAAAAAATAATTAGGAACTTGCTACTGTTAAGTGTGAAGTTTTTTTTTTAATTATATTGAATTTAATCCTATTATTGAATTAGTGGTAATATTTAAAGAATTTTATGCACATAATAAATCCACTGAATTGTATACTTTAACACTTTGAATCTATAGTATATTAATTATATTTAAATAAAGCAGTCACTTTAAATTTATGGTTAAAAAAATTTTTTAAAGTTCGAAAGACAACAATTGGTGACAGTTTTTTTAAAAATAAGAGTTCCTCTTTTCCTTCACGAGCAACGATGACATGCTGGGGAGACCCTGTTTATTTCATACCTCATACTGCAAAAGAGATCAATGGTCAGCCAGAACCCTCCTGTTTATCACTCTTTTTCCTCATTTAATTAATTTCTTCCATCTTCTCCTTCCCTCTCCTCCCCTTCCTTCTTCAATAGGCATCTTTTCTAGGCCCACAGCACATACCTATTACTCCCTCAAACTCCGAGTTTATTTTGAGAAGGAAGTGGGAGAGTAATTATTCCGTGTAACGACGCTGATGTCATCAGCCACTCACCGATGTGGCCGAGGTTCCAGCTTGTGATGTCAGATTTCGTGCTCCCGTCTCTGTTCTGAGCTTCTACTTCAACAGTGCAGATATCTGGGTGTATTATATACGAACGGGAAAAAGAACACGAAGCATTTGTGACCTGCTTGATGAAACTCATTTTCCCAAAGGAGCTTCGAGAGAAAAGGAAATTCACCATGAGTTCAGTACAGACTGCTGAAAACAAAATCACACTTACAAGTTCTAAGTAGTATTTGTTAGTTTTGCACTGGGTTTCTCAGAAGTGTCTGGTCCAGGGTTTGTATCTCTCTGTTAAAGGTCCCTGCATCCTGCCTGCCTGAGATGCCGTGAGCTACACAGACCTGGAGACAAGCAGACTGTCTATATGACTGTGTATTCTTACCATCAGAAACACAAACAGATTACAATCAACCCCATAGACTGTGTGATAATGCATTCCTACTTTAAGAAATAAAGAACAGATTGTTCAAATGCAGACTAGAATTAGAATATTAAAGCTAGAGCCTTAAGGATTTATCCTTTCAAGCCAGGCACTGGTGGTGCATGACTTCAATCCCAGCATTCAGGAGGTAGAGGCAGATGAATCTCTGTGAGTTCAAGGCTAGCCTAGTATACAGAGTGCATTCCAGGACAGCTAGGGTGACATAAGGAAACTATCAGAGGGTTTGCTAAATAATTATAACTATAAATAATATTTAAAATTATGGCTATTATTATACTCATGGTTACTGATGTGGAAAGATACCCCACCTTCTAATAGGATACATAGCATGCACAGATTGATCAGTTTTATACAAACATACATTTATGTGATTTGTCAGAGATGCTTGGAAAGCTCTTCATAAAGATGTTTAAATTACTGTCTTTTGAGGGTGCAATTGAAAACATTTGTGTGTTTCATGATGAATTTTTTATCATTTGTATATTGTTTTTTAAAAAGTCATTAAGATAGATAGCTCTACGTACAGATAAATAAAATATTGATAAAGAGATAATAAACACATAGATAATAGATAGAGGACAGGTAGACGTGGTGATTTGAATGAAAATGGCCCCTGTAAGATCAGATATTTACATGCTTAGTTGATGAACTATTTAGAAAGGATTAAGAGGTGCCAACGCCTCCAGAGCGGTGACAGGTGGGCACGGACATAACCTACGTGGTCCTGAGGCTGATCAGATGGAGCAGAGATGGAGCAGAACTGAATAGGAGGCTCAGTTTGCAAGTTGTGAGTGTGTACTGGGGAGGAACAGAGCTTAGACATGTGGAATCTAAGGATCAGAGAGAACCTGGAGGTTGGGGTAGTGTTGTGTCACCGGCACAGGCAACAGGAAGAGCTGGGTTTGATCCTAGCTTTGCCTTCGAGCCAGTTCCTTAGGTTTTCTGTAAAGCGAGGGAGGTGATGTTTGCACCACATAGGGGTCTGTATAGGGTGAACAAGGTGAAGCCACAGACAGTACTCTACGAATGGAGTAAATCCCAAGTGTGGACTGTGATGGTTGCTAGTCCTATAGCTAAGGTTTGCAGGTCATAACTTGGAGTGGCGGGCACCCTTTCTTTCCTTTTGCACACTTCCAGATCTCTTTAAAGTCCTGATTAAAAACTACCAGGCGGGCCGAGCCGCCATGGGCGTCAACTCAGTGGCCATCAGCGCCTGCGGGCGAGGGGCTTCTTTGAGAGATGGACTAAGTCAAGTGACTTACGGGATTCGGAGCTCCAGTTAGACCCTTATTTTTGAAGTTTCACTGTGTAACCTTGGCTAGCCTGGAATTCCCTTTGAAGAGCAGCCAGACACATCTAAGACCCTGTCCCAACAGGTGGAGCAGGAGTTTTACAAAGAGCATTCTCCCTCCATACAGCACACTCGACAAAGGACATGGAGAGTTTTTTTCAGTTGGTGAGAAACATTGTGCCTGCTCTAACCTCGAAGAAACACAAAGGGCAGGACGGAAGAATAGGCATAGTCGGGGGCTGTCAAGAGTACACAGGAGCACCATATTTTGCAGGAATCTCGGCTCTGAAAGTGGGTGCAGATTTGACCCACGTGTTCTGTGCCAGGGAGGCTGCGCCAGTGATCAAGTCCTACAGCCCAGAGCTGATCGTCCACCCCGTCCTTGACAGTTCTAATGCTGTTGAGGAGGTGGAGAAATGGCTCCCCAGGCTGCATGCCCTTGTCGTGGGCCCTGGCCTAGGTAGGGACGACCTTCTTCTCAACAATGTCAGGGGCATTTTGGAAGCAAGCAAGGCCAGGGACATCCCTGTGGTCATCGACGCGGATGGCCTGTGGCTGATAGCTCAGCAGCCGGCCCTCATCCACAGTTACCAGAAGGCCATTCTCACCCCCAACCGAGTGGAGTTCGGCAGGCTTTGGGAAGCTGTGCTCAATAGTCCTGTGGACACCCAGGGCCACAGTGAATCCGTACTGAAGCTCAGCCAGGCCCTGGGGAACATCACAGTGGTCCAGAAAGGAGAGCATGACCTGATCTCCGATGGTCAGCAGGTGCTTGTGTGCAGCCAAGAAGGCAGCAGCCGCAGGTGTGGGGGTCAAGGAGACCTCCTCTCAGGCTCCCTGGGTGTCATGGCGCACTGGGCCCTCCTTGCTGGACCGGAGAGAACAAATGGCTTCAGCCCACTACTGGTGGCTGCCTGGGGTGCTTGCACCCTCACAAGGGAGTGTAATCATCAGGCTTTCCAGAAGTACGGGCGCGCCACAACCACCACCGACATGGTCGCTGAGGTCGGACCTGCCTTCAGCAAGCTCTTCACGACCTAAGCCAGTGCCGACTGAAGGGTGCCACAGACTGTCCTCTGCGTACCGAGCCTAAACTAGCTGACAGAGAATTTAGGACACAGCCGTCCATCCTGACTAAATAGAGTTGAGGTGTTATGACACTACTGTGCTCTTGTGCGGTTTTCTTGGCTTCTTGGCAGCAACAAGGAGAAAGTGAGAATAAAGATCTCCTAGCAGCCCACCTGCATGGGGCTCGTTCCAACACAGCAAAAAAAAAAATAAATAAATAAAATAAAATAAAATAAATAAATAAAAAAATAAAAACTACCAGGCATGGGGCTGTCCCTGTGCCCTCTCTCTTCCCTGGGAGGAGGATTTATTCTGTTTTTCTTCCTTTCTTGTTTCTTCTATTGGGAACATAAAGTAGACTTCTCTTTCAGCGCACCTACTTGTGAATACACACACATACAGAGTCTCTGCCTCCTGCTGAGAGCGCGCGCACACAAAAACAGACTTGCAACAACTGGTTCTCTATTTGAAACAGAAAAAGCAATCCATCTCACAATAATCTCCAACCTGAATACTTTTGTTTTTAAGGGAACAAGAAGTAATAATTTTATTAGCTTTTTTACAATAAACAAGCAAACAAACACTTGCAATACTAAAACACTTGACTATTTGCTAGAATTGCAATATTTATTTATTTATTTATTTATTTATTTATTTTGTTTTTTCTAGACAGGGTTTCTCTGTAGCTTTGGAGCCTGTCCTGGAACTCCCTTTGTAGACCAGGCTGGCCTCGAACTCACAGAGATCCGCCTGCCTCTGCCTCCCGAGTGCTGGGATTACAGGCGTGCGCCACCACCACCCGGCCAAGAATTGCAATTTTTAAATGATAAAAATTTCTATTCTAATGGAAATGTAATCAAAATGGATGCTTGAGGCAGTGAAGAAAAAGCAGTGGCCACTGAACTGACAGCAGGACCTTAAAAAGCAGTGGCCGACTGAGGCAAATCCTTAGCTCTAGGCCGCCATTACACCACATCTGGATCCATGCAGAAAAACAGTTATATAGCTCCTTCTAGAAAGGAGTATGACCAAATAAGGTAAATGAAGACCTTCCCCCTCTGCTCCTAACTGGGGACCACTCTTGGCCACTCTGGCATCTCTAAGGGCAGATCACCATGTGACCTACAGTCATCCCTCTGCAGCTTCAATCCTGTCAGCATATCTGTGAGGAAATGAGATGCCACCTAGCCACTCTATAGAGATAGCTGTCACACACAAGTTGTCACTGGGAAATGTCTTCCTTCTAAGTGACTTGACTCCTGGGTGAACCTCTGCCTCCTGCTGAGAGCACACACACATACACACACACACACACCACACATGTCTCTGCCTCCTGCCGAGAGCACACACCACACACACATACACACAGTCTCTGCCTCCTGCTGAGAGCACACACACACACACACACACACACACACACACACACACACACCACATGTCTCTGCCTCCTGCCGAGAGAACACACAGTCCCCCACACTTACTAAGTCAGCCTCACAGTATAATTGGTGCCACCAATTTCTTCCTCTGGACTCCAAGTACAATTCATATTTTTGTCAAAGTAGAAAATGCAGGAAATGTTCTCGGGCTTAGCTGGCAGAACTAGGGAAAAGTCAGAGAAAGATAGCATCAGTGCACAGAAACCATTGCTGGCACACCATAGTTTAATCAACACTGTCCAAGTGGCATTTGCTAGGTGCAGTCTCCTAATTAGACTCAGGAAATGTTTGTCACTTCAGTTATTCCCTTTGAAGAACTGATTTCTACTAAAAAAAAAAACTTTTACATTCATTCCTAATAAAAAATACTTAGAAGCAAAACCTACTGTAAGTGAATATTAACTGCAGGTGAATTACTAAGCCAGGCATCAAATGAACGCCTCCAAATAAGTGATTATGATATGGACTTAAGAAAAGCTCAAAAATGCTGATTTATGCCATACCTTTATGCACCAACCTTTTTTCCCTAAAGAAAACACATCTTAGAGCCGATGTTCCTATTGAACAGAAAACGCATGCAATGTTTAATTCAGAACGGGGGTCTAGAGCCATAAGGCGTCCCTAAGTAGTAGAATTTACATATTCATAAACAGAATTGAGAATAAATTACAGTGTCAGAACATAGTCCAAGAACGGAGCTGTGTGAGGAGAATTCCGAGTGCTTGTGAGAAAACTCTAAGAAAACAAGACAAGAGTCTTATGACCTCAGTTTCTTCAAGACATGGAATTGTTCTTTCATGGAAGTGTGTTTACATCTTAAACTAGCCCATCTCCATTAATCTGTGTATTGCCATGTGCCTGTGGCTTACCCAGTAAAGTTCCACCCCCAGTATGTCTCTTGTGGGGCTACATGGCTTCTCCTCAACTCTTCCTTCTTTCTCCCAGCATTCAGTTTAGTTTTCCCTGCCTAGCTCTGCTCCACCCTATTTCAGGCCCAAAACAGCTTCTTTAGTAACCAATGGTTTTCACAGCATACAGAGGGGAATCCCACATCAGGCTGCCTTTTTCAGAGCTTGCTGCTTGCCATACAAGAGAAACCAAGACATTTGATATGGATATCACAGAAGAAACCTAAGGAAGAGTAAATGTTCTTCAGTATCATTATCTCTTCTTCTTGAACACACCAGAGAACTTTACCCTTGGCCCTTTAAGATTAGGAATGGTCATGGGGCAATGCCTTGACCATCTGACATGCAAGAAACATACAATTGCTAGTAAATGGCACTTCCCTTGCCTTTTAATATCCAGACCTGAGTGATCCTTTCTATCTTAATTTTTTAAAAGTAAGTTGTGATAAAATGAATCACCTCTTAGGTTAGCATGGTCTAGGTGTGATCAAACTTTTGACAACGGCATGAGAAACTCATCTATAAGCTTCAGTCTTGAGAACAATGACACTGAGTTACAAACAAAAATTGCAAAAGCTATCTCATAAAGTAAGCTTGCAATTTTATGCCAGACTATACTTATAGCTATCCCTTAGGTTGTCTAGCCCTCTGATACTGTGGCAAGATGTTGTGATCAATGAATGTGTTGGTGCTCATTCACAGCTAACCTGGAATGTGTGTAGCCTGTGGATTACATGTCTAAATGATCTTGATTTTAAGAGCATCTCTTCATTTAAGAACAAATCATCTCTCCAAATTTAATGTAAGAACATGCACTTTCTGTTGCCAGCACACATATGCAAGCTTGCATTCGCACGCACACACACACTCACTCAAAATCTCACAGATTCTATGTTGTTCATCTATGGATGTTCAGAACTTCTTTGTTCTGAAGTTAAAATTTCTCATCCAAAAACATATGAACTGCATGACCCACGAAAGCTGACCTACCTGCCAGGCTGAATTTGCAAAGTAGAGGGAACACCCACAGTGCCAAGGTCCACATTGTTCCGGAATTCACACCCAGAGGCTTGGCCAGAGCTCAAAATCTCATCAGTCAAGTGAGAGGTTGCTTCTCTGTCTCTCTATTTCAGTGACAGATTCTAGGCATTCGGGTAGGAAGGAGAGTTTTATTTCTATACCACCCTATCCCATCCATCCCCCATCCCATCCCCTACCCTATCCATTCATCCTCCACCTCATCCCTCACCCCATCCATCCTCCATCCCATCCCCCATCCCATCCCATCGGCTGTCTGTCACAACACAGATCTTGTCATAATTACTACATCAACCCCAGTCCCCATTTTAAAGATGTGTACTGGCAGCAGGTTTTCCTTTGGTCACAATGCACACTACTCTGCAAGACCCAAAGCAAACAACCACCGAGAACAGGACTGAGGCAGATAGAAGGCACCATGACTCTGTATAGATTAAGGCCACTTCTAGTCTTTGTCTCAGTTACTGAGCTCTGGACCAAACGAAACAACCGAGAGCTTCCCAGAAACTCTTATTTCTTGTCTCCCAACTGTGTGTGCTGGCCTTTCCCCTTGTAAGATTATGAAGTATACTTGGTTTTGTACCTGGTTCTTGGCTTAGAACTCCTTCCTCAAGGCAGACTATAGAAACTAATTTCTCTTTCCTGAGATGAATCATAGAAACAGAGATTCTAATTTCCCCTTTCTTCCCTTTCTCTTTCATAATAACCTGGTAAGCCTGCTCCTCTGAGTTCAGTGAGTCGTTCAGACAGATTAGCTGAATTCAAGGAGGAAGTCATAGCAAGGATGATTTACAGTCAGTTGGTCCGAAAGCACAAGTAAAACCGCCCAAGGCTTGGAAGTAGGAGCTGCATTTTCGGGGAGTTGGTGTCTCCAACCTGGGGGGTCTGATGTTATCTCCGGGAAGATGGTATCAGAACTGAATCAGATTGGAGGACATTTCTCTGGCATCGGGTGCCACAGAATCAATTGTTTGCTATGTGAAAAGTCCCCACCCGTCTGCTGGTAGAACTTTCTGTGATGATTGCGCGGCAGCAGCAGAAGAAATCAAGACATTCTGTTTCCCCTACCACTCGTCATTCCTGGCAATTTAACCACTTCCCTAGACTTACATAAAGACCAATCTATGTTAGGACGCATCCCTGAACACCCGGAACCTTCCTTTGAGCCTCTCCCACTGAGCTAGCTGCATGGATGGTTCTCAGCAACAGACTTTCTGACTTAACCACTGGTAGTTTTGTGAGATCAAAGCCTGCTCAATGCAGCGTATGGTGTGTGGTAGACACTCAGTACTCCTCATGTAGTTGATAGTAAGGAATAAAATAAGAGCCAGCTCAGGGCCAGGAAAATCTAAAGATGGATCAAACGTGAAAGCGTAACTCATCCCAGGGAGAAATGAGAGATGATGGGGCACTGGCATGGGGACGGTGCTAAAGAAAACAAACAAGCAAACTTCTGGAGAAAGCTACAGGGATCAGAGTCTCTTATGCATACAACAACCTAAATGCCTACTAAGTAAAAATACTTAACCAATCAGAATGAGAGCTTAGACCTCAGGAGGCCGAGGCCCAGGTTCAATTGTGAGTTCCACACCATTGTACTCGCCTTAGCAAGTCTGAGGACAGCTTAAGACACAAATAAGCTTCATTCATAAAACTGAGAAGACAGTAGGAAGAAAATAAAACTGTCATCAGTGAAAGGGTGGACTGCTGGCTGTCGGGCAGCAGCGTTCAGTGCCTGACGCTACTCCAGAGAATTTCTTCACTCCGGAGGTAGCTGCTTGGATATAAATGAGTATAGGACACCAAGCAAACTTTTCATTTCCCAACGAAGAACAGATAAGTTTTGAAAAATTTTATCATGTGGACTGGCAAGATGGCTTGGAGGGTAAAGACATCTGGGCCTAGCATGGCTATCCAAGTTCAGTCCCCAGACTTCACATAGTAGAAGAGAATTAAAGCCCTGCAAGCTCTCCTCTTACCTCCAATATGCACACACACAAATGTAATTAAAATTTTTATCAAGATAAAAATAAAAAACTTAAAAAGAAACAAAAATTTGTCATTGTACAATAACATCCTTCTGTTTCTCATTATTGAAATTTATGTTAATCTGTTTCTAGTTTTAGGAGAAAACATGTCTTTTAGTCTTCATTCCTACTTTATTTACATGCTCAAAAATATTATTAGAAAGGGAGGGAGTTCCCAATGTTGAAATTCCATAAAAACACATGCTACCAGCTCAATAATTGAATCAATGTATAATTATCTATATAATAAAGCTAAAACTGTTACCAATAAATTATTTTTCATTTTTAAATCTATGACTGTTTCATGCTAAATACAATGTAACATATGATGTTTTTTAATTAATATCAATCATCACTTCATCCCTTTATCATGAGAACACTTACCTGTTATTTCTGAGAGTTTAGAAAGAAGCTTTAAACAGCTCACAGCGCTATGACAGCCAGGGACAAAGCTGGAGAACTTGTATCTGAAGAAAGTGTGACTTTCTAGAAACTAGAGACGCGCTGGCAGTTGAATTTCTTGGATTCAGCGCTGGCAGTTGAATTTCTTGGATTCCTTCAGCATTGCACACAGGGAGAAGAGCCCAGCTCTCACTTCCAAGAGCTGGGTCGTGGCTTCTTCACAAGGGACAGAAACAGAGAGGATAGCCAGAGTCGTTACTTTTTCAAGCTACCAATGCCAGAGTGAGCTGCTCTTACTGAGGGCTGTCGTGCTGTAATTCCTCCGGGGAATTTGAGCACAAAGCAGATAAAGGCTTGGGTTTCCTTCTAGAGTTGGAGAACGACTGTGATCTTAAATATTCCATGTCGATCATAATTATACAAGAAAGACTCAGAGTAACTAAGCAACCAGCATAGCCCTCAGGACGAGGGCCCTCATTCTAATGTGCGTTTGTCACAGGGACTTTTCTGCTTGTCTTTTTTTTACCGTAAAGCACCACAATTGAAAGAATTGCCTATTGGCTCTAACCGTTGATAGATGAGCGGGCTCTCCCACTAGATCAGAAACAGACTTAGGGACTTCAGTCAGTAAAATCTGTGTAGTATGGGTGGTAGGTTCCCGTACAATTGAAGAACTTCAGTCAAGGACCTGTATCTCATCTGTGAGAAGGAGAAATGGAGAATCTTCATAGTTGGATTGCAGGTGAGACAACCCACATAAGAAAGTTATGGATCACCATGCTTTTTTAAGTCAACAAAGAGCATACTGAGTCCTCTAGGCAGCTGACCAAGTTCAGACTAATGCCTAGGAAAAGCACGTGTTATTCTATTAGGAACCAGCCTCCATCTGAATCCCCCTACTGCCCTGAGCACCATTCGGGCCTTAGTCCTGCAGTGAACAGAACAGATCCCTACGAAAGCGGCCCCATGTCCTCCACCAATAGACTCTGTCCTTCTGCTCATCACAAACCCTTCCTCTAGGCCCTGGCCCTGGCCCCTTTCTCAGCTGATAGAATTGATTCTTATTGTAAAGGTCACCGGGTCACAAGTTTAAGTGTGGAAGAAAAGTAAAGCACGAGGCCAGTCTCTGGAAGACCCAGACCCATTGCTGGCAGAGATGGCACTGTCTCATTTCAGCCTTCGCACTCTCTGGATCACCCCTGCTACCCACCCCCACCCCCGGCAGGGAGGCTTCATTGATGATTGAAAAGACAGAAGTGACTCACTGCGTAAGAGTACTTGCTGCACAAGCACCAACACCTCAGTTCAAATCCCCAGAACCCATGGGAAAAAAACACACCTAGTCACACCCATGCTTGTAACCCCAGCTCTGTCCTAGCCGGATGATTACTAAGGTTTGGGGCTGCCAGCCCAGCTCCAGGTTAAATGAGAAACCATTTCTCAAGGGAATGAGGCAGTCAGCATTAGAATGGGATGCCAAGGTCCTCCTCTGGACTTCACATGCACTTGTGGGCAGGAACACTTTTATGTGTACATACACACACACACACACACACACACACGCACACACCGGACACACAACGGGCAGGAACACTTGTATGTGTACACACACACACACACACACACACACACACGACGGGCACACAACGGTTTTTATCCAGTACTATTTATTGAGGGAAATAATAAAACATTGTGCAACCAGAGAGACAGATTCTAACAGGGCAGCCACAAGACCACAGCCTTGTGAAAGATACCTCAAAACCCAAAAGTTTCCTTTCCAGGTTGCCCAGAACCAGGAAAGGCTTTTCTGATTACAGGGTTAGCAGAAGGGGAAGCCCAAGGGAAGGGTTGTAGGACTTCCTGTGTTAGAAAGACAATACCCCTGCCATCCCTCAACTGTCTCTTAGAGGGGTGAGGAGACTCATTCTCTGCAAAGGAATAATAGGGAATTCACAAGCATTCTGCTGTGCTCCCATGGAGAGCTACAACCACTTCCTCACAATCCTGCCTCGTCAGCCTTTACTTGAAATGGAGCACTATGCAATGGGTAGCTGCTCTTCAAAGAAAGACCCCTTTCTAGGAACTGGCCTGCTCAGAGGAAATGCATTTGAACAGAGAAGTTGGAAAAGCCCCAGAATTCCTGAACAGTACAACGAATATGCCACCCTGGACTCTTACTGCCCTCGGTGATGCCACTTCTCCATCTTACACTTACCAATTACGACACCAATGGCAGCTGCCATCAGGGATGAGGAAACCACCCAAGCAGTTACTGCTGGCCACAAGCAGCGGCCAGGAGAGAGAGGGGAAGTGGGAGTCTCCTGCCTCTGAGAATGTTGTCTCTACCCCTCACATCCTATCACACGCTACAGCGCGAAGGAGCAAGAGAGATGGCCATCCCACTCCCTAACAATCCTTCACACCACGTGACACCCTTGCCATTTCAGTTGTCTCTCGAGGTGGGCTCTTAGATCTTCAACTTTGTCTGATTCCACTTTAATTCCTTTCATTCAGTCAGTCATTCATAATCCTTTCAACTATTAGTCGACAACCGTCCTGGGCCGGGCACAGTGGAGTAAAACTGTCAACCAAGTCTTATTAGTCTGAGAAATTCTGAGGGGCTGAGTGAGTCAGGGCAGCTTGCTTGACAGTGTCGGCACCCCCAGTGTTAAGTCTAAGGTACTGGACCTTATGGCTACGCCCAGTTGTTTTCCCAGTCTTTACAAACACCAAGCTGCCCTGCCAAGAGGGTACTGAGGCACAGTACTGAGTACAGTACCTCGGGGTTCCCCACAGGATCTGCTGTATAGTTTTTCTTCTTTTGTTGAAATAGAAGGGTCCTCTCTTCTCATTCTCTTGTTGCTGTGCTGTATGCGGGTTAATGTGTGAGCATGTATGCAGAGGTCAGAGCTCAACACGCACGCAGAGGTCAGAGCTCAACAGACATCTCCACCTTTTAAAGAATGTGTAAGTTTGAGTATTTTGCCTAAATGTATGTCTATACATCACATATGTGCCTGCTGCCTGCAGAGGTCACAAGTGGCATCAGGTGCCCTGGAGTTACAGACAGCTGTGCGTGGCCTTGTGGGTGCTGGGAACTGGAACCAAACGCATGCCCTCTGGAAGAGCAGCCGAGGCTCAGCCAACTCTCAGTGGTTCAACTAGCCTGGCTGGGCAGAGTCCCAGAGACCCTCCTGTCTGCGGGATTACAGGCTGTGTACTGTTGTGTGCAGCTCTTACGTGGGCTCCAGGGGATTGAACGTGGGTCCTTATGCTTGTGTGGCAAGCACTTTACCACCTGAGCCCTCTCTAGCCCCTCATTCTCTAAAATGCTGATTTGGATCCTAAAATGATCTCAGCTTTATACAGCACTTACACGGGTATTTTCACTTAGGTCCCTGAAGTATAAGGTAGATAACTTACATTTCATATTTATTTATATTATTTAAAATTGTGTGAAATATATTTTATCTATTATATTTTATAAGTTATAAAAGATTGCTATTTTTTCATAAGTCAAACTCAGCCAAATATTAGCAATTTAAACGTAAGAAGTAATGGTCCCCTTCTATATGAGGGCATTAAGTGCTTTCCCAGGATTAAATTAAGAGGTGTCAGATGTCTGTCTGCCTCCAGTCCTAAAGTCAGGAAGCCCATTTAGGAAGTAGCTGTTCCAAGGGAGAATGCTCGAAATGGCCAGCAACCAGACTAACAAGACCACAACCACATTAGAGCCCACTAGGTGTTAATTACATTGTATCAATTGGACCCTCATCCACAAATTCCTGTAGACCTGGCGCTGTCTCCACTTCATAGCCAAGCAAATTGGACACCAGAGAGTCTGTAAACATTTCACTAATGTTTACAGAAAAAAAATACAGTTTGTGAAGGACAAACATACACCCAAGCTCTTCAGTATAGCCCTCAACTAAACTGTATGATACCACTCAGTCCTTTATTCTCCCCTGTCTCTCCTGCTCCCAAACTCTACTGGCCACAAGGCTCTGGCTCCAACTCACCTAGCTGTAATTTTCGTTAGTCTGCAGTTTAATTCTATTTTTAATTTTTAATTTTTTTACATTTTTTAATGATTTACTTTTTTAAAATTTCATTTTACATTCTGACCACAGTTCTCCCTCCCACCCCTCCTCCCATCCTCCCTTTCGTTAAGACAATTTTCCTAGCCTCTCATTCCCGACCCCCATGACTCCTCACCTCAGCTTTTGAGAATATGACTATAAAAGAGTCTACCAACTACCAACAGCTGTCTCAGCAGTGACCTCAACAGCTGTCCCAGGAGTGACCCCAACAGCTGTCCCAGGAGTGACCCCAACAGCTGTCTCAGGAGTGACCCATGAATGGGCTCTGACCCATCATTTTAAGCGAGCAAATTCATATATAGTAGGAAGAAGGGAGTCTGATTATCAACAGCTGAGTCCTCACACTCACCTTCACGATTAGGTGGTACCCCATCTTGTCTGGCTTGTTCCACAGATCCTTGTGGAAGTCAATGCAATGAACAACCCAGGACCTAGAAGGTGATGTGCACTTTATCCTCAGGGAGATGTGTGCTTCCTGTTTCACCGAGGGCTTCCCTTTTGCTTTTAAATCCGGCCCAGCCCAGGGTGGCACTTACCCACTTGTGCTGGGAAATGGCTTGCATTATTGTAACTGCACAGTTAAATGAATAATTGTAGGCTTCTGCTAGACCACTCAACTTAAAAGGAAGTGTCCTCTAAGACGCCATAAACAACTCAAGGAAATTACTCAACTTTCAAGTTTGGATTCGGGAAGTCTCGACAAATGTGGCAGTGGGTCTGAAACGTTTTGCTTGTTCTCCACTTGAAGAAAGCAATTTGCAACCATGACATATGTCAACCAGGAAGGAGCTAGAAGGAAGAGGTGATGGTAGATAACTCTGAAGAGAGGTTTATAATTCTTGCTCCTGTCCAAACTGAGCTGTGTATCTATATTTGAACCAAGCAGAAACTCGGCTTAGTTACCAACATTAATACTGAAACCTAACAGTATATGAATCC